AAAAACAAAAAACATGCACTGCGAGAGTCCGGGATTTATCAGAGCACGTAGCTTGGGTATTTGCAAGATTGCACAGACTTCCAGTACTCTCCATGCAGCAGGAAATGCCATGGGAAATCAGGTAGAAAGCCCCAGACCCCCAGAACTGGTAAACCGGTTAGAGGGAAATGGGAGAGCTCCCCACAGGACTAATGCTCAGGATAGGAGTCTCAAGTGCCCGAAGGGAGCTTTGAAACAAACCTCAAACCTTAAAGTGAAAACAGAAAAATAAATACAGGAAATCTACACAGAAAATTAGAGTAACAAGGAAAAGAAATCCAGAATAAAACCACAATATACAAAGACAGATGAGTATGACTGATCTTGTGGTGGAGCAGCAAAGAAAGAGGAAGTACTACAGGTCTCCTATTACCTTAACTTATTAATGATTGCTTAGTTGTTTCTTTATATTTTTCTTTGCTGCTTTGGAGTTCAGTAAAGAAAGTTAATGCAAAATATGAAGCCTCCTGTTATGTTGTAAAACTTGTACTTCTGTAGTGTACAATATCACGAGAGTGGAAGTGATCCATTTGAATGTATGGCTTGACAATGGTTGCCATGTCACATTTAGTGGTGCAATAACACAATCATGAGACAAAATTGTGGTGTTCAGAAGGTTATCTTGTTGTAGTTTAAAATGAGAGGGTTTGGTGGAACAGGGACCTTAGCTGATGTCACATGCACTAACATATAGAGGAAGCATTGGGAGTGACGAATACCATTTACTATTGTATATTCATCTTTGTGAGAAAATGTCATGTCACATTCTACTGTTATCTGATCAACTGCTGCTTAATCTAACTTGCTTGCTGCCATAATTATGCTGTGTCAACTTTTAAATTAGGTTGGTCAGATAACAGTAGATGACTGCTCATCCACTTTAACAAAAACATTTTCTCCCCAAAAAATCAATTTACATATTTAAAAAAAAAAAATCATTATGTTTCATATTCAAGATTATTCACTACACATAAGATTTGGTCCAGCCAAAATTACTAGATTCAAACCACAATGACAAATTTTCAGGTTTACCAAAGCAAAATACAATTCTGTCGGGCCTAGTAAATCTGCAGCAATTGCATGGATGCATTTGGTATCTGAATTAAAATTTGGCGCTTTCACATTTGAATCCTATGCATAGTATAAGAGTCAGAATATTTACAAAGCATCTCTTTTGCTAAAATGTGAACCAAACATATCAATTAGGATGCACCAGAGGCCATTCTCTAATTAGGCGATTTAGACTGCCGCCTAAGGCCTCGCGTTGACAGGGGCCTTCGTGGCAGCCTAAATAGCCATTGGGCAGACTGAAGGGTAAGGTCCTCAGCCTGTGACCGAGGGCATGACACAGGAAGGGGTTCTGGCAGCTTGCTGCTTATACCGCCGAGTGCGAGGCCCCTCCGTCTAGTCTGCCCGAGACCGCAACCAGCACAGTCTTCAGTCTGCAGCTCTGCCGGGTGTTTCACGATCTCCAGCCTATAAGAGCGATGCCGTGGGTTACCATGGCAACACTCTGAAACTGGAGATTGCGAGACATTTACCCACGTGGTCTGCAGCTCTGCACCCAGAGGAGCTGCAGACCGAAGTCCCAGGTCACCCCCTCAACATGCTCTGTCACCCACACACACACTATATTGCACACTCCACAGTCTGTCACCTCCCCATACACTCTGTCACACCCCTCCACACACTCTCTCATCCCCCTATACACATCCTGTCAACCTCACACACACACTCTGTCTGCCCCACACACACTATGTCATCCCCTCCATAGTCTGTCACACCCTTCCACACACTCTATCACCCACCTCCACATACTCTGTCACCCATCTACACACACTCTCACCCCCTATATCACCCTTCATACACAGTCTATCATTATGTTATCCCCTCTTAACCCCTTAAGACCGGAGGGCGTACTATTACGCCCTATTCTAAGTGGCTCTAAACTCCGCCGGGCGTAAACTCCCCAGCGGCACGTCCGACTTCCTGGAAGCCCCCCGGCCATGTGAGAGTGGGGTCCTTGCGAGGATGCCACAATCACATGGCCGGGGGTAGCTGCCTCCTGCATTGCCAGCAGGGGGGCTGCCTGTAATGACAGGTGGTCCCCCTGCTGCCTGAAAATAAAATTAAATAAATTAAAAAGTGTAAAAAAAAATAATATATGCTTAGATCATATATATATATAATATATATATATTATATATATATGATCTAAGTATATATATATATATATACACATATACATACACACACGTACACTGTATAGGTGTATTTTACTATATATATATATATATATATATATATATATATATATATATCAAATTACACGTAGACTGATACTGGTTAAATATATATAAAATTATTGTTATATATATTTATATATAATATAAAAAAAATGTAAATACGTTAAAATAAAATTAAAAAAATAATTAAAAATAAATAATTAAAAAATATATAGATGTGTGTTATTTCATTCTAACTGTATTGTGAAATTAATATATATATATATATATATATATATATATATATCTATCTCAAAATACAAGTAGAACGAAATAATATATATCTATATACATAAATATATACGTATATATCACTATATATATACCTATATATAAATAAAAATATTTTAAAAAAATTATATAGTTATATACATATATATACACATATATTAATTCTACATATATATTTATATAATATTTTTACATAATTAGGTATCTTAATTACAATTAGCGGGACCTGTCTGACAACCCATGCCAAAAGTAAAGGGAATTTAATTTGCTAGCACTATATTTAACCCTATAACTTTCTAAGACACCATAAAACCTGTACATGGGGGGTTACAGTTCTACTCGGGAGACTTCGCTGAACACAAATATTAGTGTTTCAAAAAAGTAAAATGTATCGCCAGTAAAAGTGACTTTTTTTGTATTTTTCACGCACAAACAGCACTTACACGGACGATATTATTGCTGCAATACTTTTTACTGTTTTGAAACACAAATATTTGTGTTCAGCGAAGTCTCCCGAGTACAACAGTACCCCTCATGTACAGGTTTTATGGTGTTTTCAAAAGTTACAGCGTCAAATATAAGGCTTGCGTTTCATTTTTTTCACATTAAAATTCGCCAGATTGGTTAGGTTGCCTTTGAGACCCTATGGTAGCCCAAGATTGAAAATTACCCCTATGATGGCATACCATTTGCAATAGTAGACAACCCAAGGTATTGCAAACGGGGTATGTCCAGTCTTTTTTAGTAGCCACTTAGTCACAAACACTGGCCAAAATTGGGGTTTTTTGCATTTTTCACACACAAACAAATACTAACGCTAACTTTGGCCAGTATTTGTGACCAAATGGCTACTAAAAAAGACTGGACATACCCCATTTGCAATACCTTGGGTTGTCTACTATTGCAAATGGTACGTCATTATGGGTGTAAATTTCATTCCTGGGCTACTATACAGTCTCAAAGGCAATGTAACCAATGAGAAGCGCTTAGTTGCTAGCCACCACATTATAAAAGGTAAAAAAAAAAAAAAAGTAATTAAATAAGCCTATGAGGTCACAGTCTTGACCCTGTCATGTAATTATTGTGGTTTTTCCTTTCTACTTAACCGGTCGCCGGCGATCCCACACCGGCGATCGTGGTATGGGGACTTACCTGGGAGCCCAGGGAGTCCCCCTCCATCCTCTTCGACCCCCCTGGGCTATGTGATCGCTATGTCCTTGCGAGGACCTCCCAATCACATGGATGGCATAGCCGTCCAAGGCATTGCCAGCAGGGGGAGTGATCTAAGTATATATATATATATATATATATATATATATATATATATACACACATATACATATATACACATACACTGTCTACGTGTATTTTAATATTAATATATATATATATATATATATATATATATATAAAATTATAAATATATATATTAATATCAAAATACACATACAATGATATTGATTAAATATATATATATATATATATATATATATATATAATTGTCATTATATATATATTTATATATAATATTAAAAAAAACTGTAAATAGGTTACAAATGTAATTAAAAATAAATAAATAAATAAAATTTAAATATATATATATATATATATATATGTGTGTGTGTGTGTAAATTTGTTCTAACTGTATTTTAAAATAAATAATATATGTATATATATATATATATATATATATATATATATATATATATATATATATATATATATATATATATATATCTCAAAATAGATGTAGAACGAAATAATATATATATATATATATATATATCTATATACAAAAGTATATACGTATATATCACTATATATACCTATATATAAATAAAAATAATTTTAAAAAATTACATACATATATATACATATATTTATATACACACATATATAATAATTCTACATATATATTTATGTAATACTTTTACATAATTAAGTAATTTTATTAATTACAATTAGCAGGACCAGCCTGACAACCCAGGCCAAAAGTCCAGGGAATTTAATTTGCTAGGACTATATTTAACCTTGTAACTTTCTATAAAACCTATACATAGTGGGTACTGTTTGCTGAACACAGATATTAGTGTTTCAAAACAGTAACATGTATTACAATGATATGGTCAGTGAAATAGACTTTTTTTGCATTTTTCACACCCAAATGGCACTTACACAGACAATATAATTGTTGTGATATATTTTACGGTTTTCAAAACACTAATATTTGTGTTCAGCGAAGTCTCCCGAGTATAACAGTACCCCTCATGTACAGGTTTTATGGTGTTTTCAAAAGGTAGAGAGTCAAATGTAAGGCTTGTGTTTCAGTTTTTTCACATTGAAATTTGCCAGGTTGGTTACATTGCCTTTGAGACCGTACGGTAGCCCAGGAATGAGAATTACCCCCATAATGGCATACCATTTGAAAAAGTAGCCAACCCAAGGTATTGCAAATGGAGTATGTCCAGTCTTTTTTTAGTAACCACTTAGTCACAAACACTGGCCAAAACTGACGTCCAAATTAGTTTTTTGCATTTTTAAATATTAACACTAACTTTGGCCAGTGTTTGTGACCAAGTGGCTACTAAAAAAGACTGGGCATACCCCATTTGCAATATATATATACATAATATATAGCTAAATATAGCTTTGCATGCTAAAGCTAGTTGTTCCCAGCCCCACTTAGCATTGTTGGCTTGTTAACTTAAATGTTATTCACCTATCTGCTTTTCATTGTTATTTCTACACCCTTCACCCCTTATTTTATTGATACCCACCCAAATGTCTTCCTTGACCATTCCTCACCTCCTCCATTCCATAGCTTTATTGCAGGCCTTTTTGACCCTATCATCTCTGTGTTCCACAGTCTAAGTTAAAAAGTTCCCTGTTGAAAACCAGTTCTCACTTGCCCTAAATATGGAACCTCACTCTACAACTCCACTCTCTCCTCTCAACTAGACATCATGGCACCTCCTACATTTAAATGCAACATGCATTCCCAATTACAACCCTGGCACACCAAGCTGACCTGATATCTCCAAACATGTTTAAGAACTGCTGAATGCTATTGGAGAAAGTCTCACTCTACACCTGACTTCTTCCACTATAAATTTATGCTGCGCTCCCAGACTCTGGCTCTTTCCTCTGCAAAACTAAATTACTTCAATACCATCATAACCACACTCTCCAGTGAACCCAAACAATTATTTCACACTTTTAATGCTCTCCTTTGCCCTGTTGCTCCCCCTATTCCTACCACCCTTTCCACCTCAAACTTTGCAACTCACGTCACTTAGAAGATTTCTACAATCAGAGAAGAGATTTCTAACCTCTCTTCCTCCCCTTGTAATACATCACCCAACCCCACTCACACCGCTATTCTATGCTCACTTGCACCTAGTACAACGGAAGAGGTTTCTGCTCTGCTCCGATCCTCCCGTTTCTGCTCTGCTCTGTTTCAATCCTCTCTCGATCCTATTCCCTCATATCTCATCCGCACTCTGTCTCCCTCTCTTGCTCTTCCTCTCAATACAATTTTCAATTTCTCCCTTTCCTCCGGCACATTTCCTTCACCCTTCAAGCATGCAACCATAGCGCCAATTCTGAAAAAGCCCAACCTTGGCCCCCAACTCCCCATTTAACTACTGCCCTATATCGCTGCTGCCATTTGCCTCCAAGTACCTTGAGAGAGTTGTGTATGTGAGATTGACAGACTTCCTCAAATCCAACACTTTGCTTGACCCACTTCAGTCTGGATTCTGAGCTCTGTTGAAACAGCTGTGACCAAAGTATCCAATGATTTAACTGCTGCTAAATCTCGCGACCATTATTCTATCCTAATTCTCCTTGATCTTTCTGCTGCCTTTGACACTTTTGATCATCAACAGCTTCTTCTCATTCTCCATAATCTTGGTCTACAGGATACTTCTCTCTCTCCTGGTGCTCCTCCTACCACTCTCAGCACTTTTGTAGTGTTTCTTTCTCTGGCTCTGCCTCTTCTCCCCAACCCCTCTCTGTTGGTGCTTCCCAAGGTTCTGTCCTTGATCCCCTACTGTTCTCTATCTATACTGCCTCCCTTGGTAAACTCATCAGCTCCTTTGGCTTGCATTATCATGTATATGTGGATGACACACAAATCTACCTGTCCTCTCCTGATTCTGCCCATCTTGACTCGTGTCTCTGACTGGTTCTCCACGATTTTTAACTGGATGGCTGCTCACTTCCTTAAATCCAACTTGTCCCAAACAGAACTTCTGGTCTTTCCTCCCTCAAGTGTTGCTACTCGTGTGTCTGTCTCGCTCCAAGTCAACCGCGCCACCATCACCTCTACCTCACAAGCTGCCTAGGTGTTCTCTTTGACTTCAACCTCTCCTTCACCTCTCATGCCCAGTCTATCATCAAATCCTGCTGGTTCCATCTCAAAAACATAGCTCACATTCGCTTATTTAACATCAGACGCAGCAAAGGTGCTGGTCCATGCTGTTGTTCTTTCTTGCCTTGACTTTCTCATCATGACTATGCCTCGACTGCAATCGCCTTCTCAGTGGTCTTACGTGTTCCCAGACTGCACCACTGAAATCTATAATGAATGTGGCGGTGAGGCTCATTTTCCTGTCGGCCTGCACCCTCCACACTTCCCCGCTCTGTCAGTCCCTATATTGGCTTCCAGTTAGATATAGGGCTCAATTTAAGATTCTGGTACTTGCTTACAAGTTCCTACATAATGCTGCTCCAACCTACCTGTCCTCCCTAATACACAATTATGTCCAGTCGAGGCCCCTGCACTCTTCTGAAGACTTATGCCTCTCCTCTGTCCTTACTCCAACATTTGATGCTCGCCTCCAAGACTTCACCTTTTTCTGTGTAACTCCCTTCCCTTCTCTGTTAAACTTTCACCCAGCCTCCACTTCTTCAAAAAAATCTTTGAAATTACATTTCTTTAGGAAAGCATATCATTTAAACTATTAGCGGGTTTTCATCCCCCCCACCATGACTCCTCTCCTGCAACTGTCAAAAATAACCTACTAACTTCTCAGTGATTACTTTTCTATCAACCTATATCATGACCTCTACTTATACCCTTTGTGTCACTATACCCCACATCCTCTAGCATGTAAGCTCATTTAGCAGGGCCCTCAACCCCTCTGTTCCTGTGCTTCCATTTGTCTGTTTACAATTACGTGTCTGTTAGTCCACCCATTGTACAGTGCTTTGGAATTTGCTGGTGCTATATAAATAAAAAATAATAATAATTATGTATAAATTCTATACACAGAGGTTCATGCATTGGCTGCGAGCACTTAGTTTATGCTTTCAATCAATAAATGAATGGTAGCATCTATCTTATGCAACTTTGCAGAAGTCAAATGTCATTCGGCACTCATCACAAGAGCCTTGAGGGACTTATGTGATGGAAAGGTACACATTATGTTTTTATTGTATACACTTATCTTGATGAGCAGAGGCAGGTAAACACCTGCATTCATAGACAACCCTGCTCAAGTAGTCAGTCACATTGGAGCTTGCATTAGTACTTAATTAAGTAGCATAAGTTATTATAATACTTTGAGTGTCCCTTCCAATATTTGTTATTACTGGAATTCTGGAGCTAATTTTAATTGCCCCAAAAATTATAGAATAAAAAATAAGACAACTATACGATAAGAAATGGAGTACAACAGTTTTTCTAGAGAACTGGGAATAAACACAAATTTATAAATTCAATTCATTTTAATTGCAGAGTAGCAGTTAGATTAAATGTTTGCAAATACGGTTGTTTTTAAAACAGCTCATGCAAACCCTTGGCTTAAAGAGCACATTATCAATATATAATCAGCTGAGTTTGCTGTTTATACTTATAGTTCAAGAGCACCTCTATAATTATTTAGTTTCAATGTACAGAACTATTACTAATGATATGGGTGATAATTCTGTTTTATGTGTAAATCACGTAAAGTAAACATACTAAGGGAAATTATGCAAACTGGTCATACTACAGTGCCTTGCAAAAGTATTCACCCCCCTTTGGCATTTTTAGTGTATTGTTGCCTCACAACCTGGAATTAACATGGATTGTTTGAGGATTTCATCATTTAATTTACAGAACATGCCCACAACTTTGAAGATTTTTTTTTTTTTTATTGTGAAGCAAACAACAAATAGGACAAAATAACAGTAAAGGTCAATGTGCATAACTATTCACCCCCCTAAAGTCAATACTTTGTAGAGCCACCTTTTGCCGCAATCACAGCTCCAAGTCACTTTGGATAAGTCTCTATGAGCTTGCCACATCTAACCACTGGGATTTTTGCCCATTCCTCCTTGCAAAACTGCTCCAGCTCCTTCAAGTTGGATGTTTGCGCGTGTGAACAGCAATCTTTAAGTCTGACCACAGATTTTCTATTGGATTTAGGTCTGGGCTTTGACTAGGCAATTCCAACACATTCACATGTTTCCCCTTAAACCACTCAAATGTTGCTTTAGCAGTGTGTTTGGTGTCATTGTACTGTTGGAAGGTGAACCTCTGTCCTAGCCTCAAATCACATACAGAGTGGTACAGGTTTTGCTCAAGAATATCCCTGTATTTAGCACCATCCATCTTTCCCTCAACTCTGACCAGTTTCCCAGTCCCGGCTCCTGAAAATCCCCACAGCATGATGCTGCCACCAACATTTTTCACTGTGGGGCTGGTGGTCTTTGGGTGATGTGATGTGTTGGGTTTGTGCCAGACATAGCATTTTCTTTGATGGCCGAAAGTTCAATTTTAGTCTCATCAGACCAGATCTCCTCCCTCCATATATTTTGGGAGTCTCCCACATGCCTTTTCGCAAACTCAAAAGGTGCCATTTTGTTTTTTTGCTGAAAGTAATGGCTTTCTTCTGGCCACTCTGCCATAAAGCCCAAGCGTACGGCTTATTGTCGTCCTATGTACAGATACTCCAGTCTATGCTGTGGAACTCTGCAGCTCCTCCCGAGTTACCTTAGGTCTCTGTGCTGCCTCTCTGATTAATGCCCTCCTTGCCCGGTCCGTTAGTTTTGGTGGGCGGCCATCTCTTGGCAGGTTTGCTGTTGTGCCATGTTCTTTTCATTGGTTATGATAGATTTGATGGTGCTCCTGGAAATCGTCAAAGATTTGGATATTTTTTTTTATAACCTAACTCGACTTGTTTGGAGATTTCCTTGGTATTTATGGTAGTGTTTGGCTAGTGGTGCCTCTTGCTTAGGTGTTGCAGCCTCTGGGGCCTTTCAAAAAAGGTGTGTATATGTAATGACAGATCATGTGAAACTTAGATTGCACACAGGTGGACATCATTTCACTAATTATGTGACTTCTGGAGGTAATTGGTTGCACCAGAGCTTTTTATGGGCTTCATAATAAAGGGGGTGAATACATACGCACATGCCAATTTTCTGTTTTCTATTTCTAAAAATAGTTTTATGTATATATTGTTCTCATTTCACTTCACCAACTTAGACTATTGTGTTCTGATCCATCACATAAAATTCAGATTAATAAAACATTGAACTTAAGGCTGTAATGTAAAAAAATAGATAAAAAGTCAAGGGGGGTGAATACTTTTGCAAGGCACTGTTTACTTAAATTTAAAGTAAATTCAA